TGTAGTATTTATCTATTCAAAGAGTCTGTAGTTCATTTAAATAACTGATTTGAAAATGCAACACAATTAAAAATATATAAATGAAATTTAAACAGAAAAAAATAACATGATTTTTACACCTACATGAAAGTGGTACTGTTCCAATGCCACGCGGTCACCGCAGATGATTACCTGTTTTTCTGTCCACGCCATCTTTTGTTTTTTAGTTTTTTTTCGGAAATGGAGGAATTTTATAAAGGGATTTGTGTCAAATAACTCTCAGTTGGATAATGTTAATGCCACGCCTTATCCTCGGTGTATATCTATGAGATAATAATCCCTGGTCAGTTAATGTGAAATGTTGCATGTAGAGGCAATACTGTTTATGCTTACCTGCTGATCCTGCACACACGGTGTACACAATCCTGTCTCCGTCTGAGCCAAAGGCTGCTTGAGTGTCAGAAAGACTGGAACGACTCTCGTTAATCCGACGTTGGCAGGTGTTGGTGGTACAGTTAAAAAAGCTGAAACTTTGAAGCCATGTAGCCCCGGCTGAGAAAGCCAAGTTTGCTACCTCAGATACATGCCCGCCTGACCCACAGCCAAGCGCGTTGTTGATGTAGGGGTCAGAGTTGTACTCAGTCACACACCTACAAACACACCAAAGTAAGATATCTTAACGATTGTTAATTCTTCGCCACTTGTAACAAAAGTTAGAAGACAGTGGCTGCAGATTGACTTTGTTTGGCCTCCTACGGACTGTGAACCTTACATCCACTGAAAACAATATAGGACATACTGACTGGATTCACACCTAATCTGTAGTGTGGATCAATGGTCATTGCGTATGTACAATAAAGGTATTTCATTTCCTTTCATTGCTTTCATAAAGAAGATATGTAATCAGTAGATTTTGACTGTTCTTAATGTCACACATCCTACCGGACACGGGAAGGGTGGCTGTCAGTACCACCCTCAACTGCGGAGTCCCCACAGCCAGTGGCCCGAAGTCCGTAGCTCAAACAAAGATGTTGGTAGTCCATGCACCACTCAGGAGAGGCAGACAGGCCGTCAGCTGGAAGCCTCGCCTCGATGACGAAGAAGTCGACTCCCTTATACGTCTGGTTTGCAGTACGGAGGACTTCAAATGCATGTTTTCCTGGTAAGAAAATAGAACTTTACTTCGTAAAACCAATATCTGACCATGCCAACGGGGTGGGGTGCATGGGGACGGACGGGCAACAGACGGACAAACGCTACTGAAAACATAACCTTCTTGGCGAAGGTAACAGTAGATATTGAACTTTTGAATGAAACGAAGTTGAATTGTTAAATCTCAGAAAACTTTAGGAAGAAAAGGCATTTCTTCATGTGCTTGGGGCCAAAAACCAAATTATGTCTATCATTGAGCATTTTGCAATTGATTCAGAACCTAAAATCTTTTTTTTCAAATCAATAAGAAATGTGTGGTCTAAGGAGAAAGATGTGGAATAGTTTCGTATTTCCCTATATTAAGGAAACTATCTGCACCTGTTGTCAAATGAAAATCAGCCACAACTATCCAGATCGCACATTTAACTCCAAGCCTAGGTGTGACATCCATACAACTACATGTACCCCCCCCCCCTTACGTATACCCCGGCTTTCAAGAGTTTTGAAAGTAAACTCAACCAACTCAGCTAGCAAATGCCCGCTGTTCACCTCAGAGTGAATACCTTCATGAATTTTTTAGTGCTTTAAAATTGGTAAATCTTATGCATGGTGATGACCACCTGTAATTGGCTTCGTTAAATACATTTTAGAATCCAGCTCATCAGCAAAATTCTTATGCAAAGTATTCACATGGCCCCTACCTGGTAACATGCAACACACTGGTGAAATCCTTGCCCTTATGAAATTGCCATAAACATGTGAGTATTGTGGGAGTAGTAGTGAGAGGCAGTATTGTAATTTGTATCACAAAAAAAAACTTAGTTCTGCTTGTTGGTGTACATGAAGGTATCAGGAATTCAAACTTGCTGAGAATCCTCTTCTAGCTGAGTTACCACGTGGAAGGAAAATGACCGTCACATTACAACAGTTCCCTACCTTTACAGCCATGGGCATCTTCCATTAAGGCAAAACCAGGCCGACAGGAACAGTTGTAACCTCCCCCCGAGAGTTTGTTCCGAATCTGGGCACATCCACTATTATCTGTTCCAGGTAAGGTGCACAGAAGAGAAATATTCATGATTTATATTAACTCCAGATAGACCTACAGGTATGGCTAGCTAAACACATATTGCTATGGCTCCAACCACGATGGTCAACATCGGCTGAATTAGGTTATCTTTGTGCTTGTGTTGTATAATTCTGTTTAATGTTGAGAGATATCGGAAATTCGCTGTCTTTTAAAGTAATGGTATTTTAAATGTAATGTTTTTTTTTATAAATGAAATGTAAAATCAACCCAATTTAGTCCTGTTAAAGACTACAAAGTTGATTGCTTAATAAAGTTTACAAGTTTACAAGTTATTTAAAATGTTTGACAAGGCTCTGTTGCTCTGCATAAGACAGTGAGTTCATCATTTCCAATGTGAAGCCAATAATACGACTACAGTTCTGTAGTTTCTGTAGTTTGCCAGAAAAATATTTCTGCAATTAACCCACATCACTGTAATCAAGTCTTCACATGCAGTTTAATAACAATTCAACGTATTCTTTCCCCAATGCTGAGTGCTAAACATAAAAAGCAGTATGTACCATTTATAATGACTTACCGAATGCAAGGCGAGCGTTAATTACTAATATTAATATAATATGATAATGATACTAACCAGCTGTGCCTCTGCATACGGTGTACACAATCCTGTCTCCGCTCCCGTGTGAGCCAAAGGCTGATGCTGTGAAGTACAGACTGGAATGACTCTCGTTTATCAAACGTTGGCAGTAGCCGACACGACACTCATAAAAGCTGAAACTATTCTGATATATAGCCCCGGCTGAGAAAGCCAAGTTCGCCACCTTAGCTACCTGACCAGTCGTCGCACAGCCAAGCGCATTGTTGATGTAGGGGTCAGAGTTGTACACAGCCACGCACCTGGAAACACAACAGCATAAAAATTTTGTAAGGTATCTATTGCGAACTCTTAACCCCAGGCCTTCTAACAAATGTTACATGTAGAAGACACATGCTTTGAAAACAATTCAGGACATACTGACTGGATTCACACCTAACCTTTAGTGTGGAGTAACGGTCATTCTAAATGGTATTACGAGGTCAAATTTTAGTCATAGATGAAAATTCCATGATTTATAGTACAATAGCTTTATATGATTTAATAAGTACTAAGTACTGTATACAATGTACATTACAATTAACATTACGGAATAACTATATTTCTAACATTACAAATACCAAAAAGGTATTAATATTGTCATAGAAATGTATATCATACCACCTGAGTTATGTAATTGGATAAAAATTAAAATGTATGTAGAAATGATATATCTATGACTTTGTCATTATTCATGCACACTCCTGAATGTCACACATCCTACCGGATACGGCCGGATGTGCTGTATCTTCCACCCTGGACTGCATAGTCCTCACCACAGCCCGTGGGCCTCAGTCTGTAATGTTCACAAAGATGTTTGTAGTCCATGCACCACTCCGGAGTGGCAGACAAGCCGTCAGCTGGCAGCTTTGCGTTGATGACGAAGAAGTCGACTCCTTTATACTGTTGGTTTGCAGTACGGAGGACCTCAAAGGCATGCTTTCCTAGTAAGAAAATGGAACTTAAGTTCGTATAAACTATGTTTTACCATTACAGTCAATACCATCAATTTTGTTACTTAAAGACAAAGATTAGGACTAGTTCCAGGGGGCATCATTAAATTGAGAAATGGCGGTATCATGAGAGATGTAATTTGTATCACATAATCATATAATTCTGAATTTTGGTTTACATTCGGAAGTTGTTTGCTGAGTCATGAGCAGTCACTACTATCTGAGATGCTATACAATCATACATATGGGGAAGCAAAATGACCGTCACAATTGCGACAATTCCCTACCTTCACAGCCATGGGCATCTTCCATCAGCGCAAAGTTCTGTCGACAGGAACAGTTGTAACCTCCCCCTGCTAGTTTGTTCCAAGTGTGGGCACAGCCACTGTTATCTGGTCAAGGCAAGGAACACAGACAAGAAGAATGTGTATCTAATACTAACTCCAGACCTACACTCACTATATAGTATAACTATTGGCTAAACACATCTGGCTATGGCTCCCACCACGATGATTTCCAGAGATTGAATTCATGCAGTTAAATGACATAATTATGATAACTATTTTAACATAAAATACATGTAACAATGTATTCATTTATCTAGTTATTCAACAACCTAACCCCCCATCACATCAATTAGATATTGGTCAAACCAGAAACAAGTGCAAAACTGTATTTTTGGTAATTTCTGAATGGTTGTTGGTTTACATGTTTACATGTAGAGTCAATACTGTTTATAAAAACTTAGATATACTTACTTGCTGAGCCTGAACACACGGTGTACACAATCCTGTCTCCGCTCCCGTCCCGTCCAAAGGCTCCTGCTGCGTTGTACAGACTGTCTTGACTCTGGAATATCCCACGTTGGCAGTAGTTAGGGTGACAGCTCATAAAGCCGAAACTATTCCTCTGCCATGTAGCCCCGGCTGAGAAAGCCAAGTTCACCACCTCGGCTACACGCCTGGCCGCGCTACAGCCAAGCACGTTGTTGATGTAGGGGTCAGAGTTGTACTCAGTCACACACCTGGAAACACAACAACGTTTGTAAGATATCTCAACCATTGCTAACTCTTTACCCCTTCTAACAACAGTTAGAAAACAGAGGCTTAACTATTTCTGGCCTCCCTAAGAAGTGTGAACTTTACATGCACTGAAACAATAAAGGACACATTGACTGGATTCACACCAAACTTTTAGTGTGGAACAGTGGCCATTCTAAATAGTATCATGAGCTCAGATTTCATAGTCACAGCAAAATATATAAGTCTTTTATATATACAAAATGTAATGAATACTAGTACTGTATATACACAATGTACAGTATAACTATTTTCGTATGATATAATACCAAAAATGTATAATGATATTGTCATAGAAATGTTATAGCTTATACCTCAGTTATGTAACTTATGTAATACTATTAAATCATAAATGGATAAGAATTGAAATGTATGTAGATGTATTCATGATTTTTCACTACTTATGCACACTCCTGACTTACTTATACGTACCTGCACTTCAGCCCAAATTACAAGACAGGATTGACCAGCGTACACTACATGTAAGACTGTTCTGAATGTCACAAATAATGCTGAACCCACACCTCTGGACTTGAATCTGGACCTGAAACTTAATGTGGGTTTAGGTACACAGCACTAGTCACACATCCTACCGGATATGGTTGATGTGGCTGCGCCTCCCACCCTCGACTGCATTGTCTTCCCCACAGCCCGTGGGCCTCAAACCGTATTCACCGCAAAGATGTTGATAGTCCCTGCACCAATCTGGAGAGGCAGACAGGCCGTCAGCTGGTAGCTTTGCCTCGATGGCGAAGAAGTCGACTCCATTATACATCTGGTTTGCAGTACGGAGGACCTCAAAGGCATGATTTCCTGGCGATAAAATGAGACTTAAGTTGTTATAAATTCATAATACTAGTACGTCGATGAAGGTTAGACTCTCGTCACTGACGAAAGCTAGTGGATACTAGCTGAAACGTCTGACGTTTTCAAAATCATATCCAGTTGCTTGAGTAACTGTTTTTTGGCATATCATAATACTAGTATTTGATATTTGACCGTAACCACGGAAGTGTGTGTGTGTGTGTGTGTGTGTGTGTGTGTGTGTGTGTGTGTGTGTGTGTCGTACTACTGTCAATACCTGAAAGGAAACAAGAAAAGCTTTTTAAAAAAGCTGGCCGGGGCGTGCTTGGAAGAACTACATGAAAGTTGCATATTGTGTTCCGGTAAAGTTGTTTCAAGAATAAAAATAAATTGCTGTTTGAATTGTGCATGCTTCAAGTTGGATCTCCATTGAAAATGATGTCACCTTGGTGGCATTCTCCTGATAAAATAGATTCACACATTGTTCACAATATACGTGTTCTTAGCTTGACTTTATGTGCAAAATGCACAGTGCTCAATAGCACGATTGGTCTGGTGTGTGAAAAATGCACAGTGCTCAATGGCACGATTGGTCTGGTGTGTGCAAAATGCACAGTGCTCAGTGGCACGGTTGGTCTGGTGTGTGCAAAATGCACAGTGCTCAGTGGCACGGTTGGTCTGGTGTGTGCAAAATGCACATGAACAATTAGTTTTGAGTGTTATTTGAGTTCAGTTAAAAANAACCATTCTAAAAGCCTGTATCACAAAAATTTAAAAAATGCCTAGGGGTATTTGCCCACTGTACCTCCATACCAAATTTCAGGACCTTAGGCCCTAAAATGAAGAAGCTGAATCCATTTAAAAAATGGCAGGAGAAGAAGGAGGAGGAGAAGAAACATCAGAAAAAGCAATATGGGTTCACCACCACTTCGTGGTGTGGTGAACCCATAAAAATGTATAATAATATTGTCATAGAAATGTAATAGCTTATACCTCAGTTATGTAACTTATGTAATACTATTAAATCATAAATGGATGAGAATTAAAATGTATGTAGATGTATTCATGATTTTTCACAACTTATGCACACTCCTGACTTACTTATACGTACCTGCACTTCAGCCCAAATTACAAGACAGGATTGACCAGCGTACACTACATGTAAGACTGTTCTGAATGTCACAAATAATGCTGAACCCACACCTCTGGACTTGAATCTGGACCTGAAACTTAATGTGGGTTTAGGTACACAGCACTAGTCACACATCCTACCGGATATGGTTGATGTGGCTGCGCCTCCCACCCTCGACTGCATTGTCTTCCCCACCAGCCCGTGGGCCTCAAACCGTATTCACCGCAAAGATGTTGATAGTCCCTGCACCAATCTGGAGAGGCAGACAGGCCGTCAGCTGGTAGCTTTGCCTCGATGGCGAAGAAGTCGACTCCATTATACATCTGGTTTGCAGTACGGAGGACCTCAAAGGCATGATTTCCTGGCGATAAAATGAAACTTAAGTTGTTATAAATTCATAATACTAGTATTTGATATTTGACCGTAACCACGGAAGTGTGTGTGTGTGTGTGTGTGTGTGTGTGTGTGTGTGTGTGTGTGTGTAGTGTATAGGCTGTCAATACCTGAAAGGAAACAAGAAAAGCTTTTTAAAAAAGCTGGCCGGGGCGTGCTTGGAAGAACTACATGAAAGTTGCATATTGTGTTCCGGTAAAGTTGTTTCAAGAATAAAAATAAATTGCTGTTTGAATTGTGCATGCTTCAAGTTGGATCTCCATTGAAAATGATGTCACCTTGGTGGCATTCTCCTGATAAAATAGATTCACACATTGTTCACAATATACGTGTTCTTAGCTTGACTTTATGTGCAAAATGCACAGTGCTCAATGGCACAATTGGTCTGGTGTGTGCAAAATGCACAGTGCTCAGTGGCACGGTTGGTCTGGTGTGTGCAAAATGCACAGTGCTCAGTGGCAAAATGCACAGTGCTCAGTGGCACGGTTGGTCTGATGTGTGCAAAATGCACAGTGCTCAATGGCACGATTGGTCTGGTGTGTGCAAAATGCACAGTGCTCAATGGCACGATTGGTCTGGTGTGTGCAAAATGCACAGTGCTCAGTGGCACGGTTGGTCTGGTGTGTGCAAAATGCACATGAACAATTAGTTTTGAGTGTTATTTGAGTTCAGTTAAAAAGAAAAATTAAAAAAACACTCCTCTCCGGGGATCGAACTCGCTATGTGCAAACCTCGCCACGTGCACCGCAAAAAAGAAAATAATAAAAAAAAAGAAAATTTAAAAAAATTTAAAAAAAAAGGAAAGTTAAAAAAAGGAAGAAAAAAGAAAATTTAAAAAAAGTTCCTCTCCGGGGATCGAACTCTCTATGTCCAAATCCCGCCACGTGCAATACCGGCACAGCGTCTCTACCGACTGAGCCATCTGTTTCCGTAAACATTTGACTGCCTAACCAACATAGTATACATAGCGATCCGAGGAAATTGCAGGTCCGAGCACAGGATGAACGAATTATGATTGAAGCATGAAAGCCCGTCTTTAAAAAGAGTAAGTATCAAACGTATTGACGTTTATACTTCGATCAATGGTATGTCACTAGATGAGACTGTTACCACAGAAAGTTTCTTTTTGTAAAAAGCAAAGGTAGTACACCCACGGGTTCGAATGGTATGATCCGCCGCTTATATATACATAATTTATTCAACCGTACGAAAATTATATTTTCTGTAGTTTTAGAGCAGAAACGAAATTTTCATGTGATAGCAGTGACTTAATGCACTGCGCTACTTGTATGTATATGACAATATGAATGTGAATTTATTGTGAAGTCATCTTATTTAAGTGCTGTATTTATCGAAAACCACATGGCATGGCATAGCAGTCAGTAAAATTGGCTTCTGCATTGCTTTCACCATCGAACCAACCAAACACTGACTGAACATTGACCGTAGCATTAAACCGGGCACTAAGCCGGGGCACGCCCCGGCAAAAAACGAATGTTTCCATTATGGGAGGGGGGCATATTAGTAAGGCAAGTATCTGCACATGTTGTTAAATGAAAACTAGCCAGAAGATCTCATATTCAACTCCAGGCCTTCTAGTAGGTGTGACATCCTTACAACTATTTATCGGCACCCCTCATTCCCTCCTCTTTCAAGAGTTAACAAATTACAAGTAAACTCAGCTGGCAAGCGTTTGCTACTCAAAAAAGCTCCACGCAGCAGAAATATATTGACCTCCGAGTCAACAAGAGTTGTACGATCCCATACCTTTGCCGAATAATGTTAACCATTCCTACTGACAAAATTATACATTTTTGTCATTGATTATAAAAATAAGATCCTCATTTCATTTCCATTATAGATTATATCAGTTTATCCTAGACTCCACGAAATGACAGAGAAGGCTTTTCCGGCAATTCCTCTTTAAAAATTATGCAAATAGAGTTGATTTGAATAAATTATTTTTATTGATGTTCATCTTCACTTAAATTTCAAATGGGGTGAGTATGAACTGCATGACAGTTACAACTATAAAATTATAGCAATGTCCCATAAATTATGCAAATTAGGCCTTCATTTACATAATCTACATATTCGGATGTTTCTTTCATTCTCAATTACATATGTCAAAAGTGTTCCATACACCTATCATGGAATACAGTAGATTCATAGAAATATCTCATTAATTATGCAAATTACCTGAAGATTTGCGTGACCATCATCTACTAGTAATTACGTCAAACATCACTCAAGCTACCTATATGTACGTTGTATAAATCATGACAATCCGTCACCCAGTTCTTGAGTTATCCTTCATCGAAGATTTTTCAACAATCTGCCCTGCAGTTCCAGAATAAGCTAATAGGGGGCCTAAACTCACATTACGTCTTCCCGAGTATCAGAGCTATCTAAAATTCATTATCCTAGCATGTCTAAGTCATGAGATATCAAAACTTGTTTGTTTGTTTGTTGTTTGTTGCTTTGACATTGTAAAATCTACGTGGGTTTGAAGGTTGAACAAATGATACAGAGTATGGTTTGGTGAATAATCTAGTCTTAAAATTCATTTCATTACCTTTCCGTCTTATTGTTTGATTTTGGCATTCATGGATGACATGCGCGCGTGGATGTCATCCATATACTAAGTAATCAAATCAATATGGCCTTATCGTGATAAACCACAAACACACACATGCATAGTACAAAGTACATACAAACGCTACTGAAAACATAACCCTCTCATCGAAGGTAATAAGAATCGCCGGTAAGTTAGCCTGTTAGTTTACGTCCACCCCCACACTCGCTACCGACCAACCATGTCGGTAGCGAATGTGGTAGCGGACCAGTGTGGTACCCAGGCTACCGGTAAGTTGGGTGTGTATCGTCCTGCCACACTGCCCAAGGTAGCAGGACACAGTTTCCGGCCTATGGAGATTTCTGTGGTTAAGAACCCCAAAGTGACCTACTTCGACGCGGTAAAAAATATATGAGGGTGCAAAAGTTAGGTACAGAACTTGAATATGCTTGATTTTAAGGTATAATGTACAAAATATGTGAAAATGGGCTAAAGTTTGTCGGCTTGTTCACACGTGACGTAATCTTTAAAAAGCGCTATGCAGAAGGTCATGGAACTGCAGCAAGCGCACAGGACTAGGTAGTGACAGTATCAAGGCGCAAATCTACGCTAACCGATCAAAAAGATCAAATTTCAACTTTTACAGTCTCAAACGTTTTCCCTTTTACTACAGTAGCCACCTCGGTGTCGTACACACAAGAATCTCTGCGCCTGTCCCAAATAGCATGCCGAACTACTTTGTGCCCGTACTACTTTTGATTACGGGGTTCGCCCATAAATACTGTGTGCTGTGACCTCAAAATGCTGCTCAAAACATCTTCTTGGTCAGAGTTGAAACCGTCAGTAGGCCGAAAGTCTCTGGTTACTATAA